GAACCCCCTCCGGCTCCCGCGGGGCTCGCTCTGAGAACCGGCCCGCGACCGCATCTGAGCGGTGCCTGGCTTTCTGCTGGGGGAGGAAGCTTTGAACGAGCAGAGCCAACCTGGACAGCTCTGAAACCTGAACTCTCTTAAACTTCCAGCTTCTCAGAACAAAGTGCCGTGTTGCAAGAGCGCACCAGTTGAAAAACCAGTCTTGAGCGTACCTATATACACGTAACATGTCTGCCGCTCGGGCTGTAAATTTTACGGCGCAAGCAGATGGTGTATGTGCAAGAGTCTTGTTCTCAGAACTTAATTTTTCTTGAGCACATATAAGTACACGATAAGTAATCCATCATACATGGTTATTATCAAAAATAGCATCACGTTTGTGGCAAGTTCTGCTATCAAAGCCCTAGCACAACTGTATTTTATCCTTTGAAGTGCTTTAGCATTTGCAAGTTTTTTATAGCACTTGCAAGAAAACTTTGTATTTGTGCTTTAACACGAATTGCAAATTACAAAATCTGAAGTATGTGAAAAAGTTGAATCCTGTATTATACAACTTTTTTTTTCTTTTTTAATGTCCAGAGGTACCATGCACTTCTCTGTAATGTGTGGATGTCAGGAAAACCTGTAGTTGCTCTTCAGTCTTGTCAACATAAGTGCGTGTGCATCTGATGACTCTTTCAAGTTTTCTTACCTTTTCTTCCAATGATATTTCTATTTCTCATTTTCAGATTTAATTCAGCTAGAAGAACGTATGGCTGGCAAATAGTAAGTATGGTACTCTCTGCTGTGCTAAACTACACTTAGTAGTAGTTTGGCAATGCTGTGAACAGGAAAATTCTGTCCTTTCCTTCATTGAATCTCTCTGACCGTTTCTTTCTGTCTGTCTAAACTCATCTTACTAATGTGGGGAAATCATTGTTCTTCTGGAATACCTTCCATTCCATTTCACCAGGACTTCCCACCTGACTTTGTATGTCTTGGATATTATTAATACCTCAGGCCATTGGGTTTTTGCTCAGAACAGAAGTCGTTACGAGGACAATGTCTATTTGTCTTTTCCCTTTCTTTGAAATAGTTTTCAACCTTTTGCTTTCCTTTTCCCTTTCCAGGTATGCGTGTGTAACTTTAACTGGTTGTGATGTTCTTATACCTAAGCTAGCAGTCTCTGGAGGTAGTCATGGGTGCAGAACGTGTTGTTGCCTTGACATTGCATGGTTCAGTACTGTGTCATGACATGGTAATATATTTCTAGATCCAAATTAAAATCCCATGGTGTAAGGATGTGCACGCTTAGGTCAGGGGGTGTTGGCACTAGTGTAAGCATGTGAAGCCGTTCTTTACGGAGTTGGGTCGGCGCATGCATTGTAGCACTTGGGTCTTCATGTCACCTACCCAGCAACACGGGTTGTTTCCCTGCCTGCTTTGCTTTGGTAGTTCGTGTACTGGTTTCTTTTCACTCGTGTGACAGATTGTATTCTCCCCTCTGGCCCCTCAGAGTAAAAGACACCCTGGATACTTGCAAATGCACAGATTCTGTTCTGTTTGGTCTGCTCTCTGTGTGCAATAAACAGTCTTTTTTGTATTAACTTTCAAGTGTGTCTGTTGATTTCTAGTTCCAGCAATTTTTGTCATCGTACTTAAAAATCTCACCTCTTCCTGTTACCATCTGCTTAATCAGGTTTGGCTACTTTTCATTGTGTTTCTTTTGTTTCCTCAGTGTTGTACTGGCAGCGCTGTGCAAAAAGCTTATAATTCTTTTCCTGTCTTTTTCTAACTTAACAGGTTCAGCTATCATCTCTTCTATACTCATGCATATTACTTGTTCCTTTGTGCATTGTGTGAGAGTGTCTGATGTGCTACCTGTGAAAAACTGTTGTGGATTCATGTGTTTTACAAAGCTTTGCTTTGTTTTGTTTTGTTTTGTTTTGCCACAGCCTCTGAACAAATATCAGATGGTAGCAAATTTATTTCACTGTTGCCCTACAAAAGAGATTTAATTAATACTTGCAGCTTAAGAGACTTTCTAGTCCCTTATACAAGAAAGCTGTTGCTGTCATGTTTATGATGACTATAAGCCATTCAAAACGTAAACTCTAACTTTCCCTTACTGGGCAGAAGTAATAATTGAAGTAATTAGTGATATTTTTGGCCTCATTGAATCTAAGAATGCTTAAGCCAATGCAATTTGATAATGCTGTGGGAAGAAATAGTCTTGCCCTTCCCAGTGGCCTCCTTCTTGATCTTCTCTTTGTGCCAGCACATGCGTTTGTACAGCTGCATAAGACTGAGGAAATAAACTAGTTGGAGAAAAATGAGCATTTTTCATGTGGACCTCTTTTCCAAGTTGAGGACAGGGTGAACTGTGCATGGTGTGCAAGAAGAGGAGGTTTTCATTTATTTACTTCAAGATCAGCACCTGTAATCCACTGCTAAAATGCCTTTTGTGTTCAAATGTAGATTATGTGATGTTCCCAAATAGCGTGACAAATTTATTTGGGGAAATACTAGAATAAATCTATTCACATAGCTTGTTGCGTGTAAGATACAAAAACCAAAATAAGTCTCAGAAACAGACTACTTTTTTTATTTTTCCTGTTTACTCATGTGTATAGATTAAATGTAATAAAAACAAACATGCCTTGAAGCTCCACGGATTCTTTCAGTCAAGCAAACTGGCAAAACAAATTCCTGAGTAAAAAGCACTGTATAGCAATCTCCAGAATAAAAATTTAGGTTGTTTAGTAGAAGCGCTGCTTTTACCCTGAGTATTTAACCATGCAAATTCAAGATGCAGAATTTCAGTTTTTCAACTGTAAGATGTAGTCTCCAGTAGTGCAATAATGCCTGTTTCTATTAAGAATAATGTTTTTTGTCATTTGTTACTGAATTTGCCCAAGTAGATGTCTAACAAGTGGTAGCCAGGTCTCCTCTGATCTTAGTGTGTGAACTGTAACTAGAATGTAGCTTGGCCTGGTGGTTAGAAAATGTCACTATAACTGTACAGCCATTTAATCTTTCTTCTCTTTCCTAGGTTGCTCTAAGGCCTGAAAAGTTGACTGGAGACAACACCCGGGTGGAGGTTACAACACTGTGGTAAGTATGCTATTTTAAAACATAGAGGGGAGAAACTGGGAAAGGAGTTGATATGGAATCATGAGTCCAGGAGTGAATCACTCGGTGATGAATTGTCTGCAGCTTTGTGTGGGAAGATTAAAGTGCCGAGAATTTTAAAAGAGGAGAAAGCGGTAGCTGGTAACACGTTTTTGCTTACGGTGAAGGAAAGGAATATGTGTGCAGAGTATGAGGACAGGTACTTGATGCTTCACATTTTCATAAAGCTGTAAAACACACTACTCCATTCATCATCACTGTGTGGTTGCTAATTATAGCATTATTAATTTTCATTACTGCTCAAGTTGAAAACTGGGGAGAAATATCATGTTTTCCATTAATAACATGCAAGTTAATGATGAAATCAAAACTAGAAGTTGGCTGTCCTTGACACCGTACTCTACTAGCTTTTACTAATTAACTTTATTTATTTGTAAGAATGTAATGGTAGTACTAGTTTATGTTTGCAAAAAGAAAAGATTTTAGTCTCATTGCACATTGTATCTTACTACAATAGAACTAATCCAAAGTATTTCTAATGAGGTTATTTGTTCATTTTTTTCCTCCTAAAGTGGCTTTCTGGAAGATGACCATAGAGGATCTTCCAAAACCTTCCTTAGAAGGAGATTCCCTCATTGAAAGAGAACGGTTCTTATTCCCAAATACCGAAATATCTGTTACTTTTTCTGTTGCTGCAGCACCAATGCCTTCAGACTGTGGTATGTACTTTTAACAGAAAATGAATTTGTGATCAGCAGAAATAAATTTGAATAATAAATTTTAAGAAAAGCTATCAAATCTTAATTTATTCCTTCTTTTCAGAAAAAGTTTACTGCTTGTTAAATGAATTCTCTATTATTTTTTAAAGGAAATGGAAGATGAAAACCCATGCTTTTTCTATTTTTCTTATTGCATACATTTTAAATTATAATATCTTCTTCTTACTGTGTTTCTTCTGTGTGTGTCTGGTCAGATGTTTGTAGGTTTTTTACATCTCAATGTAGAACTGGATATTGTGTTAAGAAGTAAAATTGCAGTAATTAAGTGTAGTTAAGCATCTACATCACATTTAAAACCTCTAGAGTTACACTTCTTCTTGTGCTTTCGGTATGTAAACAATAGACTATAGGGGGATATTTCTGTTGGAAGCGTAGATGTTTGTGGTGGTAAGGACTGTGAAATGAGTGTTAGAAAATTATAGCAAGTATTGGTGATCAGCTTTCGAAATAATGTTGAATGGTCTTCACATGTATAAATTATAATAATATTTTAAACAGGATATATAATATATTAAAATGTCACTGTAGGTGAGGATCTTCATAGATGGCTACAATTATAATGCCTTTGAATATTGCAGAAGATGTTAATAGCATCTATATACCTTAAAAATTACTGCCTCCACCTCCCATGCATTGATAACAGCAATCAGCTGTGTTCAGGAAAAATAATACATGTAATGTTCTGTCTTTGACAGACTCAGCATTCTTGAGACCCATTTGATGAGTTAGCACAGGTTGGAAATTTAGCAGTTCCATACGGTATGTTTTAGTACATGAACAGGTGTCTTTACGTGATTTAGCCCTGTTCTCGTAACTTGTCCGTCCTATTCTACTCCAAGTATTGCCATGATTTATTCCATTCTGCTTTCTTATCCCTTAGAAAAATTTTCCATTCGTCCTTCTTTAAACATTGTTGTCTTGTGGTATCTTTAATAACACTACAATATCACTACCATCTTTCCTACTCGGTCTATGCCTACTCATTGAATAAAAAAAATTCCTTTTATAGGGGGTCGCTGTGACCTGTGTAACAGTAATATTACTGAATCTGGGTAAAGCAGGTTAAACCACAACAAAGATTCTTGGTCATTACATTAAGTGCATTTATTTTTCCTTAATACAGTTCAGCACTGTAATCAATGCATAGGAAAGATAGAGGTGGAGAAAGTAATGTTTTAAATTATCTAGATGCCATTGTAATCCTTTCATGGAACTTTTTGTTTTAACAGATTTTCTGTGACATTTCTTGGGTTTGCAAACGCTACAGCTGATCACCCGTTAAGCACTTATTATGGTTGTTATTAATACTTAATATATTCTCAGGTTTTTATCCTAGCATGCTGATTTTAACAGTCTATTATAGTTAATTTCTGATATATAATTTGGTTCATGGTTGTAGCTAGAAATCTTCCTGGTAAAGTAAGAATCACGCATGTTGTGTAAGATTGTTAATCTTGTTGGCTAGTTTTCTCTTTACTTCATAGCTTTCAGCAATAGATCAACTGTGGTTTACGCGGAAGTTAAATATTAGTAGATAAATCAGTAGATCTGTGTCAATGCATGGGACGTAGGTAAGAAGCAGACTTTGTGTAGTGCTGGGAGATAAGGAGTTTGTTTTTTTTATATATATGCTAGGTGCAAATAAAAATTCATGCTAAATATTAGTGAAGTTGTCCTCCTTCATTCTTGTTGAATCAAGGCAATGCAGTTAGAGGAACTCTAGATAGCCAGGAAGCGAGCTCTGTATGTGTGCTTTTATCTGTTAATGCAATCTAGAAGCGTGGTATGCTCTTTTTGAGGAAAGGTTATGATGATTCATCCAGAGGTAGCTTATACCATGTCATACACCCCAGATGGCTGATGCTTTATTTTACTTAACCTGTGTGTCTGTTCTGAGAGCCTTGTATCTGCGAATGATGCAAGCTGACATTGTACATTTATTTGAAACCTTTTTAAAAGGCAACTCTCTGATAGCTGCAGCGGGGCTAAAAGTTCAGTATCTTCCATGATTCAGTCATTCGCTGATGACAGTAGGTTCTGCTTCCATTCCCTCTCCTAATAGCCACTGCTATCCAGATACTTTCGTATAATTTTCCAGAGTTGGAAGAAATTCCACAAATTTAAAATACAGTATACGTATATACATGCACATACATACACCTGTAAGTAACATGACATATCATACTTTAATAATAAGGTGGTTTTTACACCTGTACTTTGGGTTGCCTGAAGCAATATGAAGCTTAAAATCTTAAAAATGTATCTTTTTTCTGATCTGGTTTGGTGCCTTAATTTTTAAGGATGTTTGTTACCTGCAGCTGCCACCAGCTGGGATTGATACATTCATGAAATATCTGAAAATAACGGAGGCCATAGAATGCCTTCCTGATTCGTGCATGTGTATATATTTTGATATGTTTTATGTAAATTGTGATGGAAGAAGAAGGAGAAGACATGTTTTGTAGCATATGGAGAAATCATGTATGCATTTAATCACTGAGAGATCAAGAGGTTTGTCTGTACTTGGGAACAGCTTAGAATCAGCAGTCTTTGGCTAGCTTGAAGCAAGAGTAAACCCTTATTAGCATAATCACTGCACATTTCTGTTAGTCCTTGCCTAAACTTAAAATCAGTCTTGCAGTACCATTGTATTGGTTGCTGATTCAAAGCTTTTTTCAGAAGTATAAGCAAGACCTTAGTATTAAAGGAAAAATAGACCAGATGTTAAAGAAAATTTTCTAAATTAATTTAACATTCTGATTTTCCAGTGTGATTAGTAGTGAAGTGACTCTCTCTGCTATTCTTTGCCTCTGAGTTTGAAAAACTAGATGCATGTTAAAACTTACAATTGTACCTAATGATTCCTTTTTTTTGACAGAGTTTTCCTTCTTCGATCCCAATGATGCGGCATGCCAAGAAATACTTTTCAACCCCAAAACATCGGTTTCTGAGTTGTTTGCTATCTTAAGGCAGTGGGTTCCACAGGTCCAGCAGAATATTGATATTATTGGGAATGAGGTGAGGTATAAATGAAGAACCTTGAATGCTTTCAGTGTTAAGGAAATACTATGTTGACAACAAATAAAAACAGTTCATTCAGAAGCAGAACTAATCATAAATGCAGATACAGTTTCTGCCTTTTAACAAGTAGTTACTGATCAGTGCCTTGTATTCCACATGTTGTCAGCTTTCATTTGAAAAGAGAAAGATGATCGGTAAAAATTCAGTCTGTTTGGATAGATAGTAGAAAAAATGTTTCTTCTCAAAGCAGTTGTTTAGAAACCCTTCACCTTGGTGTTTCAGTTTTCTACTTAGCAGTGATCATAAACTCCAATGCATGAAGTTACAGTGAAGCCTGACCTTAAGGGCAATGTTTCCAAGGCACAAAATGAGTTAGGAACTGAAATCTCTTTGCAACATGCGATAGGCTGCTTTCAGAAGACACCTTGTTTCTAGTAATTCCATACTACTTTCTTATTTTTCTTCTTCTGGATTACAGGGTTTTCTAGCCAGGTGGGGAAGTATAGTAAAGATTCTTCCTACCGTATTGTAACTGCGGGCTTTGTTTTGGGGGGGGAAGGGGGGGGTTGTTGAAAGATCGAAGAACAAGGGGAGAGAGTTCATAAATGATGTCATTTTCCTACTGTTCAGTTAAGCAGTTAACTTTTCAACATGTGAAATGTATGTTAGAAGTAATAATATAAAGAAGCTTTAAAATCTGTGAACAATGAAGGTTAATGATATTCATATAATATTATTTATTACATTTGTGCATGTTGCTCAGTTCTGCAGTTACAGTCTATTCTGGCAGGCTTCTTTGTTATTAGCCATTGGAATGAATCCCGTAGTCAATATATCTGAAATAACTTACTAAATAATACTGATGTCAGAGATATGCCAGAGCTAAAACGTGCTTTTTTTCCACTTGTCTCTCAGATCATTAAAAGGGGTTGCAATGTGAATGACAGAGATGGACTGACTGATATGACTCTCTTGCATTACACTTGCAAATCAGGGGCTCATGGTATTGGTGAGTAAAGAAATGTCATTATAGATGTAAAAACCTAATTAATTCACAAAGGCTAATCCCACTGACTATTATAGAATTTTTCCTTGCAGTAGGTTTTTTTTGTTGGGGGGGGGGGGCTTGGTTTTGGCTCTTCTAGTGGCCGTCAGAAAGGAAGATACGGAACTGTAGCGCAGTTATGGCTGTGGCAGTTGGGAGTAAGTTGAGTTAGTGTATAGGAATTGCAAACAATAGTACCAGCTTAAACATATATTTAATGTAGCAAAGGCTGTTTCAGACTGAGGTGCAAGTTGCAAACTAAGCTATCAACAGTTTTCTTACATCAGTGAAACTAGAATATTTAGGTAACTGGCTGTTCTTTTTTTTTTTTTTCTTTCACCCTGATCATGTCAGAAGGAAACAATCATCTTTACATTATTATGATCATAAGTACTGGAAATAAGACATATTTAACTCTGTTTGAACACCCCTATTACTTTTCTATGTTGTGCTACTTTTTTGTTGACCCAAACCCAGTTCTCCTCTGAGTTTGAACCAAGTTTCTGAGTGGGGTCTGGCATAGGTTAGCTTTTCTGGTGTTGGCAGATCTTTTAACATAAGCTTCAGCGTTGTGGTGTGTAATTTTTTTTCCTTCTCCTATCAGATACTAAAATCCCTGGTTTTGATGGGTGACAAATTATTTACATTAGAGATAAACAGGTAGTGTTATTATATACTATAGTAGAGATTTCAGGCCTTTATGGTAAAGGCAAAGATTTCTGTATCCTAATCCTAAAAAGAAAGGCATAGTAATTGTTCTGCTGTGAGCTTTAAGGGTTTAATGTGCATTATGTGTTACACATAAGCACGTGCATGTTTTCTGAGGTCAAATAAATCTCTAATGTATTTTACAAAATTTACCTTGCAGGTGATGTTGAAACCGCTGTAAAATTTGCGACGCAGCTTATTGATTTGGGTGCTGATAGCAGTTTACGCAGCCGTTGGACAAATATGAATGCCTTGCATTATGCTGCCTACTTCGATGTTCCAGAACTTATTAGCGTTATTTTGAAAAATGCAAAGCCAAAAGGTAGGCATTGCTACTTTCGTTTCATGTAGTTGTTCGTATTTTGTTATTCTGTTGACCCTAAACTGGTGTGTAGTGGTCTTTAAGTGTGGAGTTTGTTTATCCATTATACATCAATAATTTCCAATTTCTTAGTCAGCCTCATTGGTTCCTTTTTCTCTTAACCTATTTTTTTGTGGTTTAATGCACTGATTCCATTGCTGGTTTTTAAACTTGAGCTTTGTACAAGGTGGTAGAGAAGTATCTAATAGAATGGAAAGCAAACAGTTTAATTCTAAGTTGTTGAGGACTAAGAGAATGTATGCAGAAATCCAAAGATGTAACTATTCTGGTAAATTCGTAGGGTTTTTAAGATTCTTTAAATATTGAGAAGTGGGGATTTGGCAACGCTGTGTGGCGAACTAGTGGCTGAAGCAACTTTGACATGCTCATTTTTCCCACTTCTTGGCTATCTGGAAGGTCATGTGTAAGGAACAGTTTGTCTTTAGTGTTTGGCATAAATAGATAGTACCTTTTGGAATGATAATGTGAAGGATTGGTAATTGGAGCCCTATTTATACTAATGCAAATGGAAATACAGAAATGGTTCTGAACCATAACCATTTGTTCCTAATTTGGTCAGGATATCAAAATCAGTAAGCAATTTTAGTATTAAAATTGTACAAATGTTAATTTGTTCTGCTGAATATCCTTCTGATTGTGCAATTTTGCAAAATTATTAATGCCCTTTTTTAGCTAGTTGTAGCTAAAGACTGTCTCAACATTCTGAAAAGCTGATAGGTTTTTGGAGCACGCAAGGCTTGCTTACCATGTCTTGAATCATCATGGAGGTAATTGTTAAACAGTGCTGTTATTGGTATGACATGCTTAGGAGGTAAGAAGTGTAGGTTGGTAATAAAAGACAAAATAAGACTGCACAGTAGTTAAGTCCACATCACATTTCAATAGTTGGGTCTCCATAATTTGCATCAGCAGATTAGGTCTTCTTTCAGACCTCATTTGCATTTGTTGTTCTCATCTTCTCCTGTGCAGTGCCTGCAGAATGGGTGGGAATTTGCTCAGATTTCCAAGGAAACCACTCTGGTTAAATGCCTTGGCAGTTGGCAATAAGCAGATGATTTTTTTTTAATCTCAGAAAATGTATGAAATTATTTGCCCTGTGACATGAAAACAATGCATGGTCTGAATTAATAGAAAGAATAATCTTAGCTCCATACTTCGTCAGGCAGTTTGCAGAGAAGGGGGGATGTACATTGAAGGCAAATATGCCTTGGATGGATCCGTACTGAACCAGAGAAAAAATGATTGTTAATGTATAAATAACTTTTCAAGACAGTGGTATACTGACTCTGAGACACCCATTGTGAAACAGCCAGTACCACAGATGTTTCCTTTTGATTTACTGCTAAACTATTTCCTTTATGACGCTCTGCAGTTAAATTCTTTATACAGATTTATTCCTCAATTGTTAGAACAAAGAGCTAGTTTGATCTTAGATTTTTAGACATAGATTTTAAACATAAAAATTGATAAAGGCTTAAGAATTAGCAATGTCATGTGGTACCATTAGACAATGACTGTAACCTGCATGGGTTGCTAATGCAGACCATTACTGCATGTTAATTTCCCCTAAATAGTTTGGGGGTAGTTACTGGGTAACATTTGATATATATGTGTTTCTTTTTGTCATCTGTACTATGCCAACTTAGACCTAGAAAAAAGCTGTAAGAAAGCAGTGTTTAAAAACTCCAAGCATGAAGCTTTTAAGTCTGAGGAAGTCACGCTAATTAAAAAAAAAAAAATCTACATGTCAGTTACTTTTTAAAATAGTACATACAACAGTAGCTGATGTTAGGGATCAGTATTTCTGCAAATTGGTTCCTGTGTGTGCAGAAAATACTTACTTGATAGCCTTATTAAACATGGAAGTTTCAATGGTTGTATACAACTACACAGCTTCTACTCAGGTTTAAACTGGTAATGGTCTTTTGACATTTGATTTATAAAAGGTACATCTGCATACGTAGCTGTCGATTGCGTCATGTGAATGCAGTCTTTTTTCATGCGTGTGCCAATTAAATTTAAAATAGCTAAGTTTGTATTCATATTAGTGCAATTGTAAAACTGTTAAAATTTGATCCCAAATTTGTTATCTTTGATCTGATAAAATTCAGAGTCAATCTTTATTAGTATTATAAAGCTGACATATCTATATAGACATATATATTTATATATCTTCTGTATATGTTGATGTTTTATTTGCCCCCAAAATATTAATTTAGTATAACTATATAAGGATGTTGATACAGATGGGATATACTTTGTTTATCACATTGTGAGAAGGGCTAGTGGTTTTTGGGACAGAGAATGATACTGGAAAATACTAGGAGACTGTATAGCCCTGAGGTGGAAAGTTTTATGTTCCTCACCAGTATTTCAAATTGGAACATTATTGCTAATACTTGTTAGCTTTTGGTTTGTGTATTAAATCAGCTGGCATTTTTAACTAACAGTCATATACATAACTGACTTAAACTGACATCTCTCTTGTATAATTTAGGAGAGGAGCAAAAGGCTAAATAGACATTAAAACTCCAATGTTCTAGAACAGTAGTAACTTCATAGCAGATTGAAAGATGTATCGGGAACAATTGACGGAAATACATATTATGCAAAATCTCTTTAAGTCAAATGCGGTCCTCCATTTTCCAAACTATCAGTTGGAGACCTTTCAGAGTGCAATTCTTTGAAAACAAAGAAATTAAAAAAATCACTAGCTCTTGCTTCATTCTTGACCATTAGTAATTAAATCAAGGTAAAGCAGAGGTATAATCAGTTTTCCCTTGCCCCACTACATGCTCACAAAGAAAAACAGCTGATTGGAGATGCATCTCATTTTAACATTTAATACCTAGAAGCAATAAAATATAAATATTTCTGAAACATTAATTTACATGCAAACCTAAAGTTACTGACTTGTTAATCTTAACACAGTAGATTGGGCATCCTGAATGGCAACAAATTTGCAGTTAAGTCATCAGTATTATAAAATGAATGAAAGTAAATGCTCATCTTCCAGATTGGTTCATGGTATGAATAAATAGATGCAGATAACGTTGATATTCTATGTAGAATTACTTCTTGTATGCATTTAGTACATAAATAATGATCTCTTTGAATAAACGTTAACATAAACTGTAAAAATGAATGTCCTTTCAAGGAATCTGTAGGGTGAAATGTTCACATAACAGACTTACATACCTCACATGTGATGTTTAATTGCAGATGTGGATGCCACCTGTAGTGATTTTGATTTTGGAACAGCTTTGCATATTGCTGCATTTAACCTATGTACAGGAGCTGTCAAGTGTTTACTGGAACATGGAGCAAATCCTGCCTTTAGGGTAAGGAGTTAGGTTGTAGATTCACCAAAAGGTGAAAAAAGTACCTGGAAAAAAGTCCAGGATTTTGGTTAGCTAAAAATGTGTTACATGGAGTGATAGTGCCTCAGAAAAATTATTTATGATTTTTCGTGGTGGATGATTTTGTATGCTTTGTCATACTTGTGTGTTGAAGTTTGTGGTTTTGTGTCACAGTCTAGTTCATTAGTTCAAATAGCTTTCATGATGTTCTTCTATTTGTTGCTTGAACTTTCATTTGTTAATACTCCTTTCTGTCTTGCAACAGTTGTCATGGCAGTGGTGGATCTTTTTAGAAGTACAGGAGTGCAATCTGTGACCTCCAGAAATGCAGTGTATTGCTTAGCAGTAAACTTAGTTGTAGCATAAGTAACTGATAATGAAGAAACATTAACTGCTCTGCTTACTAGCCAAATAATAGGCCTGAGTTATAGTGTAAAGTGCTGCTATATGTGTCTAGCCACAGGTCTTGGGTTTTGATTGGTTTTTTGTGGGTTTTTTTGTTTTTTTGTTTGGGGTTTTTTGTTTTGGTTGTGTTTGGGTTTTTTTTTTTTAGCATGGGCAGTATCTCAGTTCTCCGTTTTCAAATTTAGGTTTTTTTTTAATGAGAAATTATAATTGTTTTAAGGGTACTCAAAAGTCATTATTTTATGTATCACTGATGGTGTGAAATCTTCTGGAACATCATTGTTCATACAGTTCTTCATGATATTCAATCTAGATCTCTTTAAAAACTCTGTTTTTCTTCTTTGTCTCGTTATTTAGTGTGCATGTACATGTTTCGAGTTCTATGGCAGCTGTATGTTTAAGAGTCCGTTGTCACGGGGCATACTGCTTTGTAGTTACAAGCATTCTGAGCTGGCGAAAGGTGGCTCAGCCCTTGGGAAAAGCAATCCTGTGCCACTGTGCCCACTTTTGCCTTCTTGCCTCTGCTCTGCCCCCTATCTTGTGTTGACACAAAGATTTGCAGGGCACCTGGTGGGCTGAATTGCGGGACTGATCTGACCGAAACAATTGCTGATGTGATGACTGAAATCTCAAAATAAACTCCCTGCTATATCCTGTTTTTAAGATACTGTGACTTGAATGGGGCTGACCTTTTACTTACAGAATGACTGTAGATTTTTAAGGAACGGTAGCTGTTTAATTCTTCAGTCCCACAATAAAGTTCTGACCAGAGACAGTGTGTAGAGTTTGCTTATATGAGGATAGCAGAGTGTAAATGCTGAGTAAGGATTATAGTTTTCTAGGGTTGAGACAGGGAGATTTATACGGGGCTCAGGAAACGTTGAGCTTTTAGCCTGTTTTTTTAAGAAAACAAAGCAAATACAATCTTGCTCTGCATCATTCCCTCTTTGAGCTTCTGGTAATTTCCAAGTCCAGGGGCTCAGTTGAGAGAAATTTGGAAGACTGAGATAATTATGTTTCCACAGACTTTGTGAAAATTGCTGAAGAAAGCGTAGGTAGAACTTGCTGTTTAGCAGCCTGACAGCCCAACAGTGTACTTGCTGACTGGCCAACTGGCCTTGAGTTAAGGTTAACTCCAGGTGAGCTGGTACTCCAACAACTCTGGCCTAGGGTGAGCGTCACATGGGACATAGGAGGAATCACAGTCACTGCTCTCTGGGAATGGGAAGTGTTTGGAAAGGACTCTGTCCTTAATTCATCTCTGATGCAATAGTCTGTATCTAAATAAACCTGAACAGCTTTATTCAACTATTTATATGAGACATCAACTTTGTGTATGCTATGCATGCAATATATATTAATTAAATTCTCTTACATTTGGAATAAGCCTCGCCAAGGAGTAAACTATACACTGGGTAAAGATAAATTCTTTGGGAAGTGTTAACGTTACAATATTGGTATTACAGACCAGAATTCTTGCTTACTTTTCTAAATCTGTGTTCAGGTACACAGATATATATAGGTGTGTTTTTCGTGTGTTTTGAGTACTAATAATGATCTTTAGATTAAAAATTTTGATAACTTTGCACTTTTGAAAGTAAGTCACTGTAAATGCTAGTTTATGTATCTAAGGATGTTTTGGCATCCTTCTTTGAAAATGTGGATGTTTTTATGGTTGTTTATATCATAGGAAAAATATCTAATGAACTTCATAAACTACTATGGTTTTGCCTAATCAGGTTTATCTTGTCACAACATTAAATCCTGTGCTATGTTATGTTTCTACAGAATGACAAAGGGCAGATTCCAGCGGATGTGGTTCCTGATCCAGTAGATATGCCACTGGAAATGGCAGATGCAGCAGCCAGTGCAAAAGAAATCAAGCAGATATTGCTGGATGCAGTGCCTCTCTCATGTGACATCTCAAAAGCCATGATTCCAAACTATGATCATGTCACAGGCAAGGCCATGCTTTTATCGCTTGGCCTGAAACTGGGAGATCGTGTTGTTATTGCAGGACAGAAGGTATGATGAGCAACCTGAAACTACTTCCTAATTTCTGGACAGTCAATTTATTTACCCCTTTGGAGACATACCTCAAATTTGAGGGTCTAAACCACTTTCTGGTAGACATGAACTCTGGATGGCAGTAAGGATCTGGTTACAGAAAGTAATAAGCTGAACAGTTATGTGTTAAAAAAAGTCACTGCTATGAAAAACTGTTTTGACAGGCACAGTCTGCGTTTTGTGTCTGTAAATAGTTTTTTAACAGTCTCCTATAGTACATCAGCATGGCTCAGCTTTTATTAACATTTTTGGTGTCACATCAAAATGATGGTAAAATTTACAAATTACTTTGTGAGTTGCCCAGCTTTCAGTTATGAGTATGCATTCGTGAATTACCCCTCATAGTTTCTAGAAGTCGGTAAAAGAAAACTTTAATTCTGCTTAGCCTGTAGTAACCCAATTTCACTGGTGCAATGCAGCTAAAATCTTTGAAGCAGTGCTGTGCCGATGGGGTTGTTACATGGTTCTGTGGAAGTATCAGAATGTAGCTAATACTGGTGCAGCTTGAATGTGAATAGCTGTTAAGAAACTACCTTGCTAGACACATTTTTGAAAATGTATTTGAAAAATGTAACATTGATACTGCAGTTAGTATTCATACCTTTTATTTGCTCTGATAGCAAGGGCTCTGAAATGATTTAAAGAGTGCTAGAACTCTTTTAGAGATTTCAGATAGTTTTCTGGAAAATATTGAAGGTATTTGTGAGCAAAATTTTATGTTTGAGTAGCTTTACCTTTAATAATTTTTCTGGTATAACTTCAGATTTGTAATCATCACAGCTGAAGTGTTCTAAAGTGAACTCCACTGAGAGTGCAAAGCAGCTTCCATTCTGCATTTTCATTTGGTGTATTCTTGAAATTGGATCAGGAAAAGTGAAGGAATCACTAGCTATGCAGAAGGCATTTTAACTGAAGTACAAACAGGAAGCCGCTTATTTAAAGACAGTAAGAAGTTCATGGAAGTTTCTTTTACAGAAAGCCATTGCACAGTGAAAGCAAAGGGAGATAATGTAACTGCAAGTTAATGGAGGCTTTATAGCAAGAAAGGGAAGAAATTAGTCCTCGTGTGTATCTTTCCTCCAAGTAAGGCCCATAGAACTGTTTGTACTGTAATGTGCTTACTGTGTATGGGTAAAGCTTCCTGGGTTTGGTTGCTTTTTTAAAATTTTTGAGTATGCTATTACAGTGTTTTTTAAGGAGTTGTTGGAAGCTAAAGGCCAGCAGGGCTTTCCAGCTAGCTTTTTTTAAGGGAGCCAAAGCTGTCATACGGCAGGTGGGAAGGAGGAATGTAATTGTGCTTTTTGGTCTTCCTTTTCCACGTCTGCTTTCCTCCCTTCCTTTTCCCTGTGTGCGAGGAGCTGTTCTGCATTACTCCCACGTCGTTTCCCACACACTTTCTCCATTTGTCTGAATGGAGAGTTGATCTCAGCCCTGCCTTCCCCTCTCCCTTGATACTCATAAATGTGTGCAGGGTGGAGCAAAAGTGAGAACAGGATGATGAAAATGGTGCCCAATTCTTAACCTCCTCTTGGATCACTTCTCATTTCCGGAATATGGAAGCTGGGACGAGGGCACTGCAACGGCAGCATTTTTACGAGCAATGTTTATGGATTCCTGTTCTCTTTCCTGCTTCTGTAGTCTCTGAATTTATCAGCTTTAATGAAGCTTGAAAGCAAAGCACAGTAGATGCCAGAGGGAAAATGGATTCCTCTCTTGATTCCTACTGCACTTGTCATTCTAGTTGTCTTATGGGGTAGAAAGCTGTGTAAGCAGGTGTTTATGTGTACATGATTTGGGGTCCCCCAGCTTCACCAGCTCATGCTCGGCTACATCATATGTTATCTGAATGGACACTTAATGAAATGTGAGTGCAGGGAAACCAGTAGCTGGAAGAAAACTTTTCTCCTGTGCCTGCCATGTTTCTCATGTGCGAGGTGTCCTCTGCTCCTTGCCTGCAGAAGTCCTAGGGCTTGTGCAAAATTGGAGCCTCACTTTTGCCATCTCCACCTCCAGTTTAAGATGCTGGTCCCTTCCCTCTGCTCGGTAAGTGCCCTTTGGCTGGTGCCTGGAGAGTGGAGGAATCTGTTAGGCTGCTTGGCCAAGCTTCCTCCAGCTGAATTTGATCTCTGGGTTGGTAGCTAAAAAGTCTGGGTCTAGATTAGTGTGATATACCTGCCTATAACAATCAAGTTTAAAGGAGATCTTCAGACTAAAAGAAGAACAGGCTCTGGGTCACATTTATTTCTTTACAGAACATTAAGAAAGAGTAGCTGGAAGGTTTTATAGTAAAGAAAAAAAATGGTTTCTGTCTATTTACTCTCTGAGGGCTGGATTAGACAGTGAAGTCATAGTAAAAAATGAACTCATAGTAGTAAGGTCACATGAGATAATGAAAACTGAGCAACTGAAGGATCAAAGGTTTTTCTTACTAAAACTAATTTAAAAATCAAATATAAAAATGTATTTAAATCAGTGTTAAATGCATCTCTGTGAGTTATTCCTCCCTCGTTTGGTTGAAGTGAAGCTTATAATGTATATTTGTGGAGACTGAGGTCCACCAGCAAGACGGGTCTGTCTTGATATTCTTGATATACTTACCTGTTCAGAGACTACTTAGTATATATTGAAACAGCAAAAAAAAATTATAACATTTGCTGGCTTTTAAAATTTCGTTTAATCATAAGGAGGGGAATAAAAGACTTACTTTCCAAAGAAAAAATTAAGTATGCTCTGAAGTTTATCCTTTAACCTTTGCAATAT